CGTGGAGTACTCCACATCTGGCATTGGTGGTTCAGTGGTAGAATTCTCGCCTGCCACGCGGGAGGCCCGGGTTCGATTCCCGGCCAATGCAACAACCTGAATTTTTCTTGCCTCCAACCCTCCCTGGGCAGGCCAGCAGGGCTTGGGCTGGGGGGGACAAGAGCGTCACCGTCACGGGGTGGATCCTGCAGAAGGTGACCCTCAAATTCATCCCCATCTTCCTGCTCCTGCCTCTCCTCCCAGGCCTCCGCTGCCTGGATGGAGCTGCTGTATTTGGGTGCTGGGTGGTGGTGGCCTGTCACAGCTGGGTCTCCAGGGCGTACCCAAAATGTATTTGGGTTGCCCCTGTGCCATGGGGCAGGGTCTGAAGCCCCTCTGAGGCGAGAGTGAGCCAAGCTCGGCCTTCTCATCCGAGTGTTAACTCTGAAGTCTAATGACAACCCCCTTGCTGGAGGTGATGCCTGAGGCAGCAGGAGGAGGTGGTCCCGGGGGTTGATCCCTGGTGTCAGAGCTGTTGGGGTCCCCTCTCTGGGGAGTGCCTGTCCCTGTGCTCCTCCCCCACCCCCACCCCGGGTGTGGGGCCGTGGGGCAGGGCCGTGGGGTGCCCCACATCTGGCATTGGTGGTTCAGTGGTAGAATTCTCGCCTGCCACGCGGGAGGCCCGGGTTCGATTCCCGGCCAATGCAGCGGTTGTAGCTTTTTTGCACCCCACTGTCCTGGGGGGACACATCTCAGTGACACCCCGGGTGCCCTGTCCCTGCAGACAGATGTGGAGGCAGTGGTAGCCGACCTGGTGAAGCTGGTCCACAGCGCAGGCGCTGAGAGCCGGAGGAAGGCCGTGCGCCCCAAGGCGTTGCTGGACAACTGCCTCAAGGTCATGCGGATGCTCTACGGAGTGCCCTGTGAGTGGGGAACGGGTGGGGACCCTGGGGGACAGAGGTGCCATGCCTAGGGGCCCTGTCCCACCTGGTAACACCTGTCCCCTCTGCCCAGGTCGGTGGGAGTCCACCTAATGCCGCAGAAGACCCCTCGCTCGACGCCTTCTCCTTGCCCTGCGGCCCAGGATGCTGCCTCTGCTCTGTCCCCCCCC